TGATTGAAGGATCGAAAAATGTTAAATTTAATGCCATTTTCGGATGTGAACCATTTTTAAGAGAATTCTGTTTTTCGTTTTAGCAACTGTTGGATTATTTTTGGTATGGATGTTCAAAAATGAAATAATTCTGAATTTCTACTTTTGATTACTTTTCCCTATCGGAAGTGTAATATGATATATGATCATTTAATAACTTTTAAATTCAGAATAATAATTTTAAAAAATAAAATACATTGGGTAATATTAGATATTTTATGACATTGAAAAATAAGTCAGAAAATAAAAAAGTAAGTTATTAAAATTAAAAGTACCATTTAACTAAAAAGATTTAAAAAAAAAAACTACATCTAATTTAGTATAAAAATTAAAATTATTCAATCTAAGTTTAATAAAATCGTACAGAATATTAAATTATATTCTTATAACTATTGATTATAGAAAGTTTATTTTTAAACATAAATACTAATGGCTTGATAATTACACCGCTGTTGTTCCGCATTTCTTTAATTTTTTTTTAATTTTTCGCCTGCAATTTTAAATAAGGGCATAATTATACATTTTTGTTTTCTTTTATGACCCCATGCGTAAATAAATGTTATTTTCATTATGTTTTAAGTAAAAGGTAAACATTACTTTTAAAAAATCCAGTTAATCAATCCTTAGATTTACTAAATGACTTGGAAACATGTGTTTAGGATAAATATTGAATTTTTAAGAGATTTTTTAAATTTATAACTTACATTTTTCGTCCATTTTGGCGGTTCGATGAAACGATGAGTGATGAGAAGATGTTTTAAAATATTTTAGAAATGCCTAAAAACTTCATTTATAAACGAATTTTTTTAAAATTCGGTTAGCTTCAGGTTCATTATTATTATCTTTCAAATAAAACCGAAACTTAAGTTCGAAGAAGGCACTTAAATTATTTAAAATGCGTTTTTCGGGTCCTTTTTTTCGGTAAATTTTCATTTTAACACCCGAGCATTATTTACTGCTGAACTATTTTCTTTCAGAAATTAGTACGCGTTTCCGTAAAGCGATTTTTTTTGTACTTAATTTAAGAATAAAGTTAACTTTCAAATATATGTAAACATCGACAAATAAAAGAATAAAAAAAAAAAAAAAACACCTAACCCTAATTTGAAAGTTAACTTTATTCTTTAAAAAAAAAGAATAACCAAAAAAAAACACCTAACCCTAATTTGAAAGTTAAATTTCTTCTTTAAAAAAAAAAAGAATAACCAAAAAAAACCACCTAACACTAATGTGAAAGTTAACTTTCTTCTTTAAAAAAAAAAAAAGGAAAAAGAAAAAAGAAAAGAATAACCGAAAAAAAAAACAACTAAAAAAAACACCTAACTCTAATTTGAAAGTTAACTACAGGGAATTACTGTGAAGGGAGTAAATAGGCCCAAATTGTATACGTCCACCGACAGAATTAAGCATTGAATTACATATCAATAAGACGCTAATGGCCGACGAAAGACCAAGAAAAAGTCCGATTTTTTTTCTGGTTGTTAACATCCAAAAAGGTAGATTTCTTCAATAATTGTTGATTTGAATTCAGCATATACATTTGCGCGGAAATAAGACTATTTGGGAAAAATTTGAAGGGATATTAGCGCTCGGGTGTTAAAATGAAAATTTACCTATATTTCTTTTTGGAATGTCCGTAGTGGTACCTAGAAATAAAGTAGTCATGATAACAGTATTCAGAATAACACAAAAAAAGAAAGGAAGTGAAAAGGGAAAATCGTACTGGTAGATTTAAAAGAAGGCCGATAAGTCTAACAAGGGAGAGAACTGATACTAAGGGAGGAAACTCTTCACGCAAAAGAAAATCCGTTGGTTTATTTTTTTTGTTTTTTTGTTAAAAAAAAAAAAATCAGCCGGTAATATGATTTGAAACTGGAAAGTTAATGTCTCCCAGGAATGTTGTTTTAGTTAAACTGATTTTTTGGTGTTTTTTTTTTTAATTCAGATATGCGAATCTGTGATTTTGTTTTGATTTAGCAAATGTAAGTCAGTAAGTTAAAAAAAACATATGCTTTACACACAGACACACACACACACAGACACACACACACATATAAATGCCCGATATATATATATATATATATATAATATCGGATATATATAGTCGACTCTTCCGTCGAGATTCGACGTAAGAGGGTCAAGCAGATCAGTTCCCAGGAAACCGACAGCCCGACACCGGCACATGAGATTTGATATTTGTGGTGAAGGCTTCGTGCAGGACCATCCACACTTTTTGAAGAGACGAATACAGAGACCTGGTGCATCGAATGCCACGAAGTTCCCAAACGACCCATCTGCAGGTTTTGAATTCAGAGTTGTCCTTCTCCTAGACCAGTTGCCATCCAAGGCTATAGAACCCAGTCTGTCCTGCTATATATATATATATAATATCGGATATATATATATAATATCGGATATACATAATATCGGATATATATATAGAGACTGTATTCTTTAACCTTGATGGCAACCTACTGCTGGAAAAAATCTTCTGACTAGTCAGTCTTGTATCTTTCAACACAAGGTCGTTCAAACATGTATCACGTATGGCACTAAACTGACTGAACACAACTCTGTGTTGCACAGTCGTCAGAAATCATCGCTATAATCTTTATTTTCGTAAATAAACATAATTCGATTCCACCTCCATCCATCAAACCTACTCTTCTCAAAAAATTATTGCATGCTTGCACAACTAAAATCCCCTTCTACGACCATAACGGCCATATTTACACTCACACTAACGGTGGTAGTATGAGAAATTCACTCGGTCCGTGATTCTCTAACTACTTCATGTCTCATCTAGAAAACAAGCTACTTAAAAAAAAAGTAGGCATCTTCACTAATACGCTAAAAAAAAGAGCATACCCTGGTGAAAAAAAAATACCAAACTTGATAAACAAATTTTTATCGTCTAAATGTTTATGCTATTATTAAGAGGAAAGACCAAAGTATTTTTTGATTATTTTATTAATTTTTTTAATCCTTCCTAGCACGTCCGAAATTTTAATTAAAAATCTTGTGTTTTTTTTGTGAGACAGCAAAATTGTCATAAAATCTATCATGTCCGCCATTTTTGACAATTTTGTAAATAAAAGTGAAATTCTCCGTTTAAAAATCGTGTAAAAACCAATTATACCTTTTTTAAAAGTTATTTAAGGGAAAATTAGGAAATTTAAAGTTTTCTTAATGTAATTATAAATAAACATTACTTAATTTTCTAGCAGAAAAATTTAGTTGGAAATAAGAGAAGTCTGTCTAATCGTCGTGATTTGTTTTGGAGGTGTAAATTGACGTTTATAACTAACAACTAACGTCAGGACAATTTATCGGACGGAAGGACAGAAGTGTCAGTATTTTCGAATTTTAAGTGAACCAGCTTATTTGACTATACAGAAATTTTTAAAAATGAAATACTTTTAAAAGTCTAACATTTTATTAATTTTCTTATGTACTTTTTTTAACGAAGATATGTTCAAAGCGTGCAATGTTTCCGTCCCTAAAATTGATTCTAAAAAAGAAATAAGATGTATGTCTTTCACTGAAAAACGATAAATTAATTATATTTAAAAAAAAAGAAATGAAAAAATTTAGTAAAATAGTAATAAAAGGAAATTAAAAATTTTGAAAAAGCGACGATGATGGTCAGAGAATTTGATATGTGCTAGCCAGAAGGAAATCAAATCAATTTCTGAGCCCGGATCCTCGTTATTAGGAGAAACAACTTTTAAAACATGTGATCTATTATTTCTGAATCGTGCTTCTATAGTTTCGGAGAAATCGTTTTTAATATATTTTTTTGCATATTAAAAATATTTTGAAAATACATTCGTGTCGCAGATTGTAATAAGTTTTCAAATTTATGATTTGTAAAAATTGATCTTTTTAATAAAAGTATTTCCAAAAAGACACGACTTCAAACTTTTAAAATATTTAACAACTTTATCACATTTTGTATGTAAAATTGAAGAAAAAGAAGACAATACTTCTAAAAATTTATTTTTCAGCAGAAAAATATTTTAGCGACAGCAAATAGTGTCCTTATATATTATTTATAAAAACCATTAAAAGCTTATCTAATTAAATAATATCTTAGTTTTGGGGGGGTTTGTATTTTACAATTTAGAGCTGACTTTTGGCTAGAAACGCGTTTTGATTTACAAAAAAAAAGATCGATGATTTATATTCTCCAAAGTCTTCTGCTTTTAACTAATATAATCGCTAAATTACACAAAGTCGAATTTTCGAGTTTTTATAAAATTAATTAAGCAGGGCTAACAAATATAAAAAACTATTTTTTTACAATAATTTTCAAAAAGACAAACATTCCTAAAATAATTTCATTTATTTGTGAATAATTTCTGAAAGTTTCATTAAAATCCGACAATTATTTCATTTTTGCAAGAATTTCCAAATTAATGTGTTTTTCAACTGAAAAAATGCACTAACAAGCTAATAGTTAATATTACGTCGACCGCTGACGTAAAAAGACAATATTTTTAACCAAAATTTCGAACATGCTAGAGAAGATTAAAAAAATTTAAAAATAATTAAAAAATACTTTCGGCTTTACTTTTAATATTAACATATACATTTTGATGATAAATCTTTGTTTTTATTAAGTTTGGGGCCTTTTTTCATCAAGCTATGCTGTTGTTTTTTTTTGTCTTTTTTTGTTTTTTGTTTTTTCAGAGACTTAGTGTAGAAACCCATAAAAAAGTTGCTAATCCTAAAATCATATAGATATTTTTATTTTAGCTGAAAACAAAGAAGAAATTAATGATAAATTTCAACTGACGGTAACACTGACATTTCGGTCAACGAATGCTTAATGTTTTCTTATAAAGAAATTATTAATGCTGTCATTACCACAATTAACATTATATCTAATAATATTATTTGATTTTTTTATTTCTAATCTTTACTCGTTACGATTCACTTATATCCTCGTGTGGCGTACT